TGTATATTAGTGTTATCTGCCATCCTCACAATCTTAGCTTCTTTTGGATTGTCGTCAGGGCTAGAAATGGTTTGATTTTACAAGTCGAAACATTATATAAGAGATTAACCATGTCTGATACGTATTAGGAATTTTAGAATAGAATATACGATCTTAAATCTTGCAGAATATGAGATTATTACATATCAATGCACAAAAACCCAACCAGAATTTATCATACCAAATTACAATCGTTATTCAATATGATTTTAAACTTTTAATATAGCGCATATACAGTACTGTACTAAATATAACTGAAATAATCTTTAGGTTGTACGTAAATCTGGTACCAGCGATAGTAGTAAAAACGCAATGAAACAGTAATACACAATTACTGTACCATTAGCCCTAGCCATTTTGCATAAATTACCGTACTTTGTACACTTCGTTTACTGTAAGCTGTCTTATTGATACATTCATTAGACATTACTGTACTGTATACCTCGTATTATGTAGTAATATTAATTGTACGCTAGCGCAACTTACGCCATTGTTCCCTGTTGCACGACTTTCAGTGCCCTCTTGCGTTGACTATTGATTTGATGATTAGGTTTACTTGTATTGTCAATAAAATCACTTGTTAGATCGCCATTATGAACATCATGACGATTGGAAGTTCTACCAAGCGTAGAATCCTCATCATTGATCCAGTTGGCAGTCGCTTCACCTGTCGTAAATAGCTGAGAGTTGCATAAATTATCCGCTTGATTTGTGGATGGCGTAGTAAGTGAATGATCAGATTGATTTCTAGCTTGCAATTGCATCGATAATGGACGCTCTGATCGTTTAGCTCGAGGCATAATATATTGTTGGTACAGTTTAAGAAGAGCAATCTTATCCAGACTACGATCAACGCTAATTTCTCTCTGATCAAAGATTGTTAGCAAATGCTGCCTTGATAAAATGTGTGGGTAGACGAGGAGTGATGCAGAATTGAAATTGCTACATTTTTGTACATCGGTATCATTATTATGATCACTGTCCATCCTCTCAGCTAAATTGGAATATTCCTTTTTGGCACAAAGCCTACCTGGATAGATGGTATGGCTAGACTTAGTGGCAGCATCCTCTGCCTTTGTACATTGACCGCTGTTGGTGTTTTTGCAAAATTCAACGCCACTGCTAGATGGAAGGTGGGTTCTGTCAATTTTGAACATTCCATTATTTGCCATTGCTATCTTATTATATCATCATCAACCCTATTTCACAGTACAGTACAATACATGTTTGTAATCTTTCTATTTATTGTAATAGTTTGCAGAGAGGTTTGGCCACCAGTTCTCCTGGATTGTTTGACATGTACTCGTTAACAGCACGCGTACAGAACTCGTATGTCGCTTTGTAGTGTTAACTTACTGTCATAAGGAAGAAAAATGACAGTAAATTAATTATGATCGGCACGGGAACGGGCAGGCACGCTTGTTGTTATTCACGTCAACAGTTCAATTCTGTCCTAACCAATCTACTTACTTTCATGGATAGGTCAGTCAGCGAGATAGATTATGCTTGAAGTAAATTACGATTAGCAAGTAATAAGAGAAAATGAAATGTTTAATCTTGAAATCGAAATATAAAACATACTACAACACGGCAACTTTGAATTGCAGTAGAGTACACCTCGATGTAGAACAGATGTCGTAAGCGTAGGCGACGTTTGCATTATAACACCAAGAAATGGCATGACATCTATTTTACACATTTTTGTACGTACAGCACTCACTACTGTACTGTACGTTTCTAGCTGCAACGTTTCCTACTGTCACAGTACTGTAAATATCCAGTACAGTACGCATAGACTACGGCACAGTACAGTACAGTACTTTACAATGTATTGTACGGTACTATAAAATTTGAAGGGTCTAATGTACAGAGTGTGATTATTTTCGATGGCACCCTGAAAACATATAATTGTACAGTATATGCTAAATCAGGCCCAAACTACGTGTATATATAAATGCTATACTATACAGGAATTTCAACGGTATACAACTTGGATTTTTTAACGAAGGGGAGAGATCGAAAATAATCAGATTGGTACAGTCATGGTGCAATGTACTGTACTGTACACTGTAGGTACACAGCAGCGAAAGCGAGCGTTTGATTCTAATTCTACTAGTGCAAACTCCCGTCGCTTTGCTGACCAAGTTAAGCAGTTCAGTTCAGCTATTATAGCGTTTGTTTTTAATTCTATTTTTAGCTTAGATATTATTTTTTATTGATTTATTCTACAATACAGTACAGTACTGTAATTCTATTGTACTGTACAGTACATACTGTACGGTGTACGGTACAGTATAATAGCCGTACTGTGCGTCAGAGCCAACCCTAATCATGTAAGCAGCTCAGTTCAACTATTGTAGGTCGAGTCAGACACTAAGCTAGCTTATAATAACACACACACACATACAGTACAGTACTGTAATTCTATTGTACTGTACAGTACATACTGTACGGTGTACGGTACAGTATAATAGCCGTACAGTACTGTGCGTCAGAGCCAACCCTAATCAAGTAAGCAGCTCAGTTCAACTATTGTAGGTCGAGTCAGACACTAAGCTAGCTTATAATAACCTGCTGTGCTGATGTGTTGAACTACTCACCAAGAGGCAAGAGGTGACAGTGAGGAGATTGCCAATATTGCATCTGCCATTGATTCAATTTTCACCAAATTTCGCCTAAGAACTTCAAAGGTATCTCTCGAATCAATTCTCTTCTTCTTCATCATTGATTGAATAAATTTCTACGACAGTCCAGTAAATGCTGTACTAGAAGATAGTAAATTGAATTTTTGTTTTTGTTCTATACTTGGAGACTTGTTAAATTGAACTTTCAGTTTTCCCATTTTCATCTACTGCATATTGTACAATACGGTATACCTACTGTACTGTACAACTGTCCACTTGTATGCAGCATCTGCTTCTCGTCATCATTCACTTCATTTCATTGATTGTGGTAGCGATTCTATGAAATGGTTTACTAGTCAAATAAGTAGTAAAAACAAATCCATAAATTAACTACACTATTTCCTTAATGTTTTACTTCAATCATTTGAAGAATTTGCTGTTATCCAAATTATCTTTATTGCTGTACCCGAAGAAGAACAATAATAATAATAATAATAATAGTAATATAGCAATAATTGTACGATCTGCATAGAAATGATAAATAACATGGTATTGATCATGGATAATCAAGATTTATGGATAACAGTCGTGAAAAAGAAAGAGTAATTAATTATAATCTATTAATTCCTTTATCCAAGACGACTCGAGTAGAGACTTTTTGCCAATTTTTGAGTACTTTTGAAAATCAACAAATTCAGTACCATGTCATACCTAACAGATCTATCCATCAAGTAACTAGGAAAACAACAAATCGATCGATTTCGATCCTACTGTACAGTACTGTATTTAAAGAATTTATTTAATAGAGACTAGAGGCCTCTTCACTCTCTATAATAATTATTATTATTGCACACAAACAAGCTTGTCTAATATGACAGTAGCGAATCTCATCGCTATATTAACGTTGCATATGGTTTAATTATAATTTCCCCTTTTCAAATACGTAAATCACGTAAAAATTCCATCTTACGTATTCTTCTTCACTCTTGCTGATGTAGACAGTCGCAGTTTTATAGGAGCTATTACGAAATTTTTTTTTTTTTTTTGGGGGGGGAACATTTAAATGGCTGTCTCGTCTCGAAACCTTCTTTTGATATATTATTTGTCCAATTTCTTTTTATCAAAAAAAATATTCAGTACATACAGTACTGTACTTTGACTATGGTTGCCTGAATGAAGTTGACAAGTTGACTGAAAGACAATCCTCAAGAAAAGTATGCACACAGCAATTATCGTGCTTGACAGTATTACTACTCGTATGTATTGAGGCGTATTAGCAGAATCAGAAACTACCCACTGATTGTTAACATAAAAGTGTTTTCTCTGAGAAATTTCCCTCATAGAGATCGATGAATTGACGTACTCTCAGTCGTAAAAATTAT